GTTGTGATTTTTCTGGAGAGAAATGTAAAAAGATAATTTGTAAAATCTTAGTAATAGTATGGACGACTCTTTTTTGTTTAACTTGTATTCAGTGGCCAGGGAATTCTCCAAGACTTAAAAGACATATTAAAGTCTTTCAACAGAAAATAATTTCAATAACCGCGAGATTATTTTTCGATATTTCACTAATAATTACGGAATATTCCTAACCTTTTTATTATTTTTCTAACATAACATATACCTATTTTTTAATATGTATGTAAGAAATGTATGTTCCAAAAACGTTTATATGTTTGATTTCATATCTTTAGTGCGTATCCCAAACCGTTGTTGATGTGTGTATAAATATCACCAATTTTTATAGTTGGCTGTGATTCACCAATTTCAGTCGATACATTTGTTTGCTTTTGACAGCTCCATTTGGTTTTTTTATTCATGTTAATAGGCTTTTTTTGATTTCTGAAGTGTATTATTCGCAGTGTAGGTCAGTGAAAGAAGTGGTTACAGTTTTTCAGTTCAATAAGAATTTCGATAACAGTATGGGTGAGTTTTTTGATTTGGTTCTTCTCATTTTCAGTAAATATTTAATAATGCGGTATTGGGGTATGGGTGACGGACGGTAAGTGAGAATATTCCATTGAAAATATTACTTTGAAATGTCAACATCCAATCATACATAAGTTTTCCTTATTCTTGCATAAATTTGAATATACAGTTATATTATTCATTTACGACTTTAGTTTATGCAATTACTTCTTTTCTTCAGCATCAACCATAACCTCATTTGAAAATAAAAATTCAAAAATAATATAGGAAACCTTACATGACATCCTATATAAGGTATACTTCGTAGATATGAAAAAACAATTATATAAATTGCAGTCGAATGTAAGCGGGAATAATAAGAAGTGGAAATGAATCGTTTTCCTCTTGATCATTTCAAATGATTTCGAATGACAATAATTATAAGTGGTAAAACTGAAACCTATCATACTATCAAAATAAGCACCAGAAATGCAATAATACTTCTTTCGGCTCGCGTTTCACCTTTCACCAACCAAGTTGGTGAATGAAGGAGATGAAGAGAAGTGATAATTTCTTCATCTCCTGAAGACGCCAACCTGGTTGGTGAAATGCGCTTCATAAACAAAGTTGATTGGTGAAATGTGCATTGTTGAGAAGGGTATTGCATTTCTGGCTATTAAAAAATTGCCTGTGTTTGGACAATAATCGAACCCCTACCCAAAAATTTCACAAGTCTCAAAAAATTGGAAATACGTTTTGCAGGTCGGCGGAAATTCTTGCAGGTCGGGTCTCCCAGACATGAATCACTACTAGGTTAATCATTTTTGACAAAAAAATGCAACTTCCACTTTTTGAGTATGGAAAAATTCCACATATGTCATAAAATTGAAAATGAACCTTGCAGGTCGGCAGAAATTCTTGCAGGTCGGGTCTGCCAGACCTGCAAAGTTCATTTTGAATTTTATGAGAAATGTGAAATTTTTTCATACACAAAAGGTGTACCTGCAAAGTTAATTTTTTCTGTCGAAAATGAATAATCTGGTTGAGATTTATATCGGGAAGGCCCGACCTGCAAGAATTTCTGTCCTCCTACAAGATTACGAGAGCAATGTCTACTGAGAACAATTTGCTGACCTGCAGAATACTTATACCCATTTTTAAGTTGGAAAGTGTCAAAAATAGTCCCGTTCTATGAAAATTAATGCATAACGGGGTATAATTACGAATTTCGCCTTTCTTTTTACACTAAAGAGACACAAATACTCATCTGAGTCGCCTGTTACCGTTACTCAGAAAAACTCTAACTCAAATTTAAGGAGGAGAGAGTTCAAAATGACACCTCGTCTTTAGGTATCCATAGCCAAAGGATATTTGACTCTGAAACCACTGAGTGTCACCAACAGAACTTTCGAGATACCAGGTCATCGTAGAAAGCCATGTCGTGGTGATGCAGGATTCTGACATGATTGATATCTTTCCCTAGCTACTCGTGTGACCCTTTATGGACCATGAAGTAACCAAAGATTCCGAACCTGAGTGATGGACGTCGCACAGACTGGTATTGAAGCCCAAAAGCTGGCCATGAATCAAAATCACAAACTTTATTATCGAGGGCTAGCTTTAGGTCCCAAAGCAGATAGGTGTATAGGTTCAAAACGTGAAGTTATGTCTATGACTCGAAAACAACTACTCAAAATTTAAAGATTTTTAGAAAAAAAATTATTGAAGTCACAAAAATGGTATGAATAGTTTTAAAATGTTTATGAACGTAAATGGCTTGCAAGTAACAGCTCAGAGAGGCGTTTATTGAAAAACAATCAAGACAATATATATGTCGAAAATTTTGCAAGGAAATTTTCCAGGACAGCGTGCAATTAGGATGTGACAAACAGCCTTACTAACCTCGGATTCATTTTTGAATAGTCTCAGACATACCAGAAGAAACAGAAAGCCAATTTCGAAGGAAGCCTTGGAATTTTCAAGACCAACCAGATCTCAGGGCACAATCCGTCTGTTAGTTATTTGTTTCTACTGACATAGGATAAATTTCATGTATTACTAATAAAAATGAGTCTTGCTACTCCAATAAAGATTATCATGCTATTATCTAATGAATATCAACAGTTTTTATTTCATTTTATATGCCCGCTTGCAAATACATTGCTTCTTGGGTAAATTGCTAAAAGTATATGTATGAATGTAACTATCATGACCCTCTTGTTAGTAGTCACATTATATTGAAAAAAAAGTAGATCTGAAGACATAAACTACAATCAATTATTTTTGGCCACCGTTTTTGCTCGAATACCAGTCTGTGCGTCGACTGAATGATCCAAACTGTCGTTCCTGTAACATCAGATTTTGATCAAGAATTTCTCAGTTCTCCAAGAAAACAAGTGGTGTAACCAAGAAACGATTTATCGCCTCCTCAAGAGCAGGACAGTTTATTAATCTGCCTTACACCAAATTCTTGAGCATCACGGAAGAAAACAAGTTTTCCCTGAACAGATCAGCAAACGTTTATATTCCATGAGTTATTCAAACCTGAGGTGAAAAACCCCTGTATGACTGAACCTAATACATCGTCAGGTAAAGTTGGTTAGCTTGTTGTAAAAATCAAGGTGGGATAAGGTTTTACCTTGAACATCTGGTAACCTCAGACTGACTACCAATCAGATCCTCACTAGATTGAGGTGGAAAATGTATCATGGACTGTCAACCTTGCAGTAGAATATTCTTCACAAGGAAATTCAGGCCATGACACATGATCTATGCCTGCATCGCCTCGGATGGTTTTCATCGTTTGGTAGAGTCCTACCCTACGTGTGAGTCACAATAAACACTTGCGTGTTGCAGGAAAGCGTCAAATAGACGAACTTCCGACCTACCTTCATATAAACCTTGCAGTAACCTTGGAGGCGAGAGTAGGCCAAATGAAATTGGAAAATTCACTGAGAGTCAAAGGGTCGGGTATACATGTTCACAGACCACATGACACCGAAGTACACAATCGACACGTACTTCAGTATTAAAGTCATGGATGATGAACAGTCATCCTAAAAACGTGCCTGGTATAGTGTGTTAATATACTCAGGAATCACATACAGCAAAGAAGCTGATGGGTATGGTAGACACAGATCATCACATATGAGCCATGAACCAACTGTGGATATAACAAAGACATTATTACAAAAGCAAAACTACGTTCCAATGATGATAATAAAAATAACTTTCATTAATTTTTCTTGCATAAAACGAATCTAAAAAAACACTTTTTCCACAACAGAACAAAAGTACTTTTTTGCCGCGGGTTTCGCTAACTGAGTCAGCATCATCAGTCATTTACATTAAAAACTGATCGGACATCTCCTGATGATGCTAACTTCGTTAGCGAAACTCGCGTTGATAGACAGTGTGTTTCGTTCTGGTATGTAAAAAGTGATTTCTTTAGATTAATTTCAAACAAGCAGAATGAATGAAAAATATTATTATTATTATCACACGGGTTGTGTGTGAAAGGTGGGAATCAATAGCATAAAGTATAACTGACATCAACTCCTGATGATGCTAAATTAGTTAGGGAAACATGTGTCAAGAGACAGTATTTTTGTTATGGTATGGGAAAGGTCATTTCTTCATCTTTATTTGTATCATTGACAATTTTATGACTCCTGGTTATAGTTTTTTTTTTTGTGAAAGCTATGTCTCAGGTTTATTCGAGTGACCGCTTTATATCGTTGGCTGATCAAATAAGAAAACATAAGAAAATACAAAATATTGATATAAATTATAAAATAGGAGACTATGAGAGCGAGAGATAATTCTCAAGTCCCTTCCTAGAATTGACAAGCTGTACACCTTTGTATGTATAAGAAACCATGCATAACGTGGGTCATGCATGACACATGTCCATCAAATATATTGTTTTTTTTTGTTGATTTTAGTGTTTCACATTTCACAAAATGTTTTTTATGCACTACAGTTTTCTATCGATCCATTTCTTTATATAACTATAACGAAGTCAAAAAAGTCCATTAATGTTACATTATCAATATATTCGATATAACAATTTGCTTGTGTTATCTTATTGAGAATATTGATACCACTCTTCAACTTGTAGGCAGTGCATTTGTAATATTTTTACTTATTACATTGAAATATTAGTTACTGATATTATTTATTCAGGTCATACACAAAATATTGTCAATATCAACTCTTCTTCAACTCAAATCTTTTATAGTTTATTGTAAATATATGGGTTCAAATAATGCAATATTTTGGTCATTCATGTAAAGATTTTATTCTTAAATCGTAGGAATAAAATTATTTAAATATTCGAAATTTCTTTAAACAATACAATAAATGTGCTTTGCTTTATACAAAAAGGTAAAAAATTGAAGTACAAGGCATTAATTGTATATCTGAATGTATAACAGATTGTACTTTTGTCCCTTGACAAAATTAGAAAAAAAATGTATCGACTACTTCACACTATCAAGTTTTAATAGAGCATTATGCCAAATCTTAAGCTATACAATCTTGGACGTCACAACAGTCAAAATAACAAAGTAGTCTTGTGATTCAGTATCATTTTAGATTGAGTTGCTTCATAAGTTCCAACAACCCCAGTTAAATAAGACACACACGCTTCACTTTTCCACTCAAAGTGTCACTTTAAACAAAATCTAAAAAAAAAAATATTTCATTCAAACGTGGAATTAAACATATTCAGGTCCTCAAATGAGGCAGCGCCTCCCTGATCCAACATTTGGAGCATGTCTGAAAGTTCATGAGGTTGAGGTTGGGGAGGAGGTCCTGAATTACTTGAACCTGATTCTGATGCTTGAGCTGCATTTTGCCAATTAGTCCACTGATAAGCAGAAGCAGTCACTCCAGCATTAGGTCCAGACCTACCACCACTAAGCTGTGTGTATGTTGGACCAGGTGATCGAGGGCTAGGGTATTGATACCCATCAGGTGCCGTTTGTCGTAAAGTCCAAGCAGCAGCAGCAGGGGTTGGACTTGTGGTACTTCCCTTACTTAATCTGGCCAAACTGCTGCCACTTGCACTCGCCTGTGAAGGTGATCCATAGGCTATGGGAGATTGTGTGGGTTCGTAGGACGAGTACACATTCTGAACACTACTGGGTCTTGGATATCTTGACTCGTCTGGACGGTCACTGCAGTTTGTAGTTGACATTGGTAAGTATTCGCTTTGTATATGCGATGTCGGTAACATGTGTGAATATATACCAGTATCACGCCTTTGTAAACTATAATCTATACCAGGTTGTTGATAGCTGACTTGTTCTGGAGTTTCAGCAGGTGCTTCATTCGTCGAATGTAAAGATTTTGCGGTTGTATTTGTACATACGATGTACTCCACTTCATCAGTATACGGATTCAAGAATGAAAAAGCACTTGTTCGTAGCCAAACCCACTCCCTGTTCTTCGCCCGAAACCGGTACATGACCGATAAAACTTGACCCTTCAGTTTCAATACTGAAAAACAAAAAAGAATATATTAGAATTAATATATTGAAAACTGAATCGAACATACCCTGTTCGAAGCTATCCTTCATATGCGTTTGATCTTCTGGATGGAAAAATTCGAAACAACTTTTTCCCAGTAGCTCTGGTGGAGAGTATCCTAGCAATCCCATGACCCTCTGATCGACAAATGTGAACTTTCCATCCATCGAATGCCTCGAAATGAATTCAGCGTTGCTGCTTGACCCAGACATATCACTAGTATTTGGTGTCGATGTAACTTGCAGCCTCCCTATTGCTACCAAACAGCAGTGAGATGTATGCATCTCTTCTTCAGGCTGACGATCCAATTGTACACCTGGGAACATGTCTGATATTTTTCGTACTTAGATCATTTCTAATTCAACCAGAATATTTTATATGAAAAGATGCACCAAGAGAAATCAAATAGTACAACTGTAGTTCTGACAAGTCTTTGGTTTATGTAAGAATATATTTCTGACTGATCACTATTTCACTGAGTAGAATACTAGGTATGATTGGTCCAAAACTAAAATGTCAGCAATGTAAGCTACGTTTATTTTATTAAGTTACAATAGTTACGTTGAACTGATTTTATTTGTGCACTAAAAATACAAACCGTCTGCAGAAACACACTACATACAAGTTTTCTATTATGATAAATATCATTACAAGAATTTCACTAGTTCGGACTTCCATTGTCTACTATATAAAATGATTTGAAATCCCTGAAACAAGTAAAAAGGAATAATTAAAAAAAGAATAGCTGAAGATAACAATTATATTAAGCAAACAATAAACCTGAAATGAAATGATAGTGAAATAACCTAAAAGTAAAAANTTTCCAATTTCAGAAATTTAAACGATATAAACCAAAAACAGGAATGAGCCCAAGACGAATTATTAAGGAAGATTTGAAGGAATTTTTGGAGTTCTTCTCTTTTGCTCCATATTCATTTTTCGTCTCTATTGAATGATTCTAATTCAAACTTTTTCAAGATTGTTTCTACACTTTTATTTGATATTTATTATATTATACCACAACTCGTCAATGCGTTAATCAATTATACTTTCCATTCTTCACTTACAGAACTTGAGGTTAGCTCAGATTAATATATGAATAGTTATATAAATTCCGTATGAATCCATTGTTTATGTTTTTCCAGCTAGCAGATGAAGTCATATACTGGAATAGTTGTGAAACGTTGCAAGTCAATTACACTGTTCCAGCAGTTTCCACTACTTCAAAACAATGTTGCCAATTACAAGTCAATTAGATTTTCTTTCAGCAGAGTTCAGTAATATTTTTTCATTCATCGTAGTTACCATCATATCGAAGTTACCAGTCCCGTGTTACCAAAGTAAATCTTTTTTTAAATACGTTGGCCGGCTAATAAAAATATGTAACATTATATTTTGATTAATTCACTGTGCATGTAGGTAACTATAGACAAGATAAATTAACAAAAAATGGAGAAATTTGTACAGAACCGACTCCATGCTTTTCATCTTCTTTTCTTCCTTACATGGTTCGAAGTTTTGAACCGTGCAAACATATTAACACGGTCTCTTTTTCATTTATATCGAAAGCGTAACAGGAAAAAACGAATTTGATTATTGTTCAAAAGCTTTAACTTTACCAATTCATAAATATGAGTTTTGTATATTACTGGAGTTTTTTTCCAACACCAAACACATGTTTCGAAAACCAAGTGATTAATCTTGAAGATGATCACTTGGTGATCGAAACACGTGTCGAGTTGTTGAAATAACGGTTTGGTGTTGGAAACAAACTCCAATAATATTCATTGCTACACCAAAGGTTCCAAACAGTACATCACATATGAGTTTTGTAATGAATCAAATTCTATTTCATCGACATAATAAGTTATAGTAAAGTTTTTGGACCAACTTGTTCTATTGCAAGTTGACATAAAGGCAAAAATTATACTTTAATATGTTTCAAAGGAAATAGATGAACTGAAATTTTAATGTGAAAACTCTGTTAGTTGCAATGAAATTTGATTGATATAAAAAAGCAAATTCATCATAATAAGTCATGAAATTTAAAATTAACTTCTAATTCATTAGCGGCTCCTCAAGAAAATTATGGTTGATTGGCATATTATTCCGGTGGAACCAATAAGCGCTACTGATTCTTATTTGTTAGTTTTCTATAACTGATTGTAATGATAACACAGTTTTTTATGCCTGCATGGCAAACAGCATTGAAAATATACGAATCAACGGTCTCAGGCTAAATAGCTTCTGAATAATAAATAATCTACTACAAATGATGTTTGTTATTCAAGAAAGTGCTCGTGTTGAAACGGACTCTTGTCTATTGTTTTGAAATTTAGTATTCAGTCAACGACAATGAGTCTTTTTTTATTGGAACATTTGGAAATACCTAACGCAATCAAAATCTAAAACCGCTAAACTTAAAAATAGTAAATAATACAGTCGCCATAAAGTAATAAATGACCGGGATAGAATGTAGTTTATGATAATTCAGACAACACAGGTAGTCGCTATAATAATTTAAGTATAAGAATGACGTTCTAAGAATCACCTATCGGATATGCAAAACGCACACAGCATAAAAATGAACCTGGCTGTACATCGGCTCATGTATAATATTTTTTATTTTAATTTAATTCGAATGAATTGAAGCCACGTACACCTTAAGGCATTTTTGAGGGAATAAATTTGAAGGCATGTACACCAACCATTCATGAATAGTACCACTCATCAGATTCTATTTTATTACTTTGTTTTCTTTCTCACACGCTTGTCCATGAACATGGTTCCCATTTTCACCTGAAAGACGTGTTTTTGAAGATATAAGGACTGGATGTTCTAGAATAGTCCAGAACATTCGAAAGCATGTCAAAGGATTCCACAACATTCCAGAACATTTCGGAACATTCAGGAATACTCTAAAAAATGTTGGAATGTTCGGTGATAGTCTGGAATGATCAAGGGCGACATATAGTGCAGTAAATCTCTATCCTTCATCTGTGAAAAAGGTTCCAATTTTCATTTGAAAATATGTATAGGGACTGGAAGTGTTACCCTCCTAAAAGTCCTAGACCAGTCCAAAACAGTCCAGAACAAGAGTGTTTCACAATATTCCATAATATCAGAACGGTAATAGTTCGGAACGTTCGAGGACATCCCATGTCATCGTGAAACCTTCGGGGTACATTTGACTATATTGACATTTTCGGCTTCTAAAATGAAAGAGTGATCAGAACAATCGAGAGTATTCGAGAGAATTCCAGAACATCTGGGAACATTCTAGAATGTTCGGAAACATCCAAGATCAGGAACGTCATTGTATGACGGTCAAGGAAGTTATGGTGTTGTAGTCCTCTATATACTGGAATATTTTAGAAGGTTCGGGAATCTCTGAACGATCAGGTCATTGTGGAATATTTAAAACCAGTTTCAAATACTGTGGAATGTTCGGGAGGACGATTTGAAGACTTTTTTTGTATGAGTGGGGCTACCCACCTTCGCTTTCTTCGAAAACTTCTGATAATTCCTCTTCCATATTCTCCGTTTCACTGTCACTGTCGTCATTTAAATCAATAATGAATTCATTTCCACCATTGATATGGAAGTGTCCAATCTCCATATAGTCTTTTTCAACTAAAATTACTTTTTTAATCCTTTTCTGCCAGTCTTCTTCGGTAATATTAGATACTTCTTCTTTAACTAGCTCTATCACCTTCTTATCAAATTTTGGAAAATTATTTTTACACCTAATGCTTTGTTTAAATTTTCTCCAAATCAACTCGATGGGATTGAAAACACAAAAATAGGGGAGAAGTCTCAATATGGTGTGTNAAAATTATAAAAATAGAAACTTAGCGATGAGCTTGATCAGTGGATTGTGAAAGTAACCATCAGACTTGTTCTGGTTATCGATCTCTTGAGTATGTATCATCTCAATATTTATATCTCGGGGAATATCCAGTTTGACCCCAAGTTGTTTCACAAATCAAACTAATGGCGAAGGTAATAACAGGTTTTTCGAAGACCGCATCGGATCCCATGCATTGTGAAATGCACTATCGAAGCAGCAAAAAAATTAAAATGTAACAGTTTGGCGGAAACGCATCGCACTGAGTTTAAATAATAAGGGCATTAATCCTGGTTAGCGAAGAGTAGGCATTCTGTGGCCCATAACTAACATAGCGATAGCATCGTTTTGTGCACGGCTCATGGCTGTGGTACGACGCCAGACCCGTTACGATACTTTGAACAACTGAACATCGCACACGGTTGCCAACATAAAATAAAAAATATACGCTCCTGATCACCATACATTTTTTTCAACGTTCATCCACTGAGAAGACGTTGAATGTAGACGGTCCTACCTCATTTGCCAGTAATACGGCGAATTGGTTTTAGGGGGCGAAATGAATTGCAGATGATATTAAAATTCAATACTTCGCAGGGTATCTAGTGTTAATTGTCAGAACGAAGACAAGGTGAGACAAGGTCTAGGTAAAGATGAAGCAAAAGGAAAACATTCGAAATTCACGAATGGGCCTTTTTCAAATGTCATCCATTTCAAATTATGAATACACTGGCCCGTTACTCAATGAAAATCAATAACACTATCCATGACGATAATTATACAATTTTCACAATAAATGTGGTAAGTAAATTTGAGTCCACTGGTTCAGTAAACGATCGACCAACATCCGTACGTCCACGAAACGGAAGATCTGCCGAAAATATCGCCGTTGTCTATGAGAGTGTGCAGGAGAATCCGAGGCAGCCGATTTCGCGCCGCTCACAAGAACTAGGCCTTTCGCAGACCACAACTTCGCGAATTTCGCGTCGTAACTTGGGCCTGCACCCGTACAAAACTCAACTGACCCAGGAACTGGAGGTAAACAACCATAGTCAACGACTTGTTTCGCTGAATGGGCTCCGGGGCAGTTGGCAACTGACCCTAATTTTCATCCAAAAATCATCTTCACGATGAGACCGATTTCTGGATGGATGGATGAATCCAATCCACATGAGATCCAAGAACGTCCAATGCATCCCAAAAAAGGCACTATCTGGACTGGGGGCGCTGTCTGGACTGGGGGCGTCATTGGTCTATATTTCTTTGAGAACGACGTTGGCCAGACTATCACTGTCAACGACGAGCACTATAAGTCGATGATTACCAACTTCTTTGGTCATCTCACGTGGAGGTGATGTGAACTGGCCATCAAGATCGTACGATTTGACCTCGTTAGACTTTTTCTTGTGGGGTTTTCTCAAGTGGCAGGTGTATGCGAATAAGCCACAAACCACAGCGGTCCTCAAAGCCAACATAACCCA